TCCAGTTCCTTCTCTGGACAGGAGCGAACTAAGTGGGAAACAGCCCAGTTTTGGGAACACGTTGGCAGAGGCGCCTGGCTGCTAAGAGTGTTGTGTTCTGTGCCTCCACAGGCTCGTTCCAAGAAATGTCTGGGGACCTCTCTGTGCCTGGGTGTGAGGCACACAGGGGTGAAGCAGAAATGGGATCCTGCTTCCTGGAAACTCATCACCTAGGGTCGGGGGAGTCTGTACCGGAAATGGGGGAACAGAAGGGCTCAAACAGTGCTGGAGGCTAAAAGACGGCAGAGAAGAGCCCGAGGGGGGTGGGAGTTGGTAGCTGGAGTGGATGGGAACTGCTTGGAGTAGATGCTCAGGAGAGATTCTTGTGGTGGAAACATAAACTAAATTTAGGTGACAGGAGGAAAGTTAGCTGTTTGCCAGGAAAAAGGGCCGTGCAGAGTTAAGATCCAAGTGGATACTTAGAAAGTGATTTTTAGGAATTACTATTTGTTGGGTGGGGTGAAGAGGCAGGGATTTGGGCCACACCCAACAGTGCTCAGGGGCTATTTCTGGTTCTGTGATCCATTGGCAAGGATGCAGGGACTGTGTGCAGTGCTAAGGCTTCAAACCAGGGTGAGCCACATACAAGGCAAGCACCTTACCTACTGCAGTTTCTCTGGCCCTTAACAAGTATTCAGTTCTTTATGACGTATTTATTTGTTTGTTTATTTTTTTTTTATTATTTTTGAGGCTACACCGGGTAGTGCTCAGAGCTTTTCTTGGCTCTATGCTAAGGAATCACTCACGCTGGTGGTGCTCGGGAGCCGTGGGATACCAGGGATTGAACCCAGATTGGCCACGTACAAGGGAAGCACCTTGCCTGCTGTACTGATTACTCCAACCCCACTGCCCCACTGAATGAGTATTCTTTTTCTCTTTTAATGGAATCACTGTGTCCCAGTGTACATGCGTTACACTGTCACAGTGTAACTGAGATACAGTTGCAAAGCTTCCAGGATTGAGTTTCAGTCATACAATGTTTCAACACCCATCCCTCCACCAGTGCACCACCAATATTTCCCATAGCCCTCCTGCCACTGCCCCCACCCCCAGCCTGCCACTGTGACAGCACTTCTTTTTTTCTCTCTCTGTCTCTGTCTCTGTCTCTCTCTCTGTCTCTCTGTCTCTGTCTCTGTCTCTCTCTCTGTCTCTCTGTCTCTGTCTCTGTTTCTCTCTGTGTCTCTGTCTCTGTCTCTGTTTCTCTCTCTCTGTCTCTCTCTGTGTCTCTGTCTCTGTCTCTGTCTCTGTCTCTCTCTCTCTCTCTCTCTCTCTCCCCCCCCCTTTTGGGCATTATAGTTTGTAATGGGCTGGAGTGATAGCACAGTGGGTAGGGCATTTGCCTTGCAAGCGGCCAACATGGCCAACCCAAGTTCGAGACCTCCACCCCTCTTGGAGAGCCCGACATGCTACCGAGAGTATCTCGCCCGCACAGCAAAACCTGGCAAGCTCCCCATGACATATTCGTTATGCCAAACACAGTAACAGTTGTCACAATGGAGACGTTACTGGGCCTGCTTGAGCAAATCGGTGAATAATGGGAGGACAGTGACAGTGACAGTGGTAGTTTGTAATATAGATACTGAGCAGTCATCATGTTTGGTCATTTACCCACTTTCAGCACATATCTCCAATGTGGAGCGATCCCTAGCAACCATTATTGTCATAATGGTCCTTTCTCTGTCCCAACTACCCTCTAACCCAGCCTGTGATTCAGGCTTCCAGCTGTGGACCATTCGATCTGACCCTTGTTCTTACTGTCTTTGGGTGTTAGTCTCTTTCTATGTTTTTTTTTATTTAATCCCACAAATGAGGGCAGTCATTCTAGTCTGTCCTTCTCCTTCTGACTTATTTCACTTAGTAAGATACTCTCCATTTCTACTCATCTATAAGCAAATTTCATAACTTCATTTTCCCCCTAACAGCTGTATAGTATTCCATTGTGTTGATGCACGGCAGTTCCTTTAACCAATCATGTGTTCTCGGGCACTCGGGTTGTTTCCAGATTCTGTCTATTGTGAACAGTGCTGCAATGAACATACAAGTGTAGATGTCATTTCGGCTGTGTATTTTTGTAGCATAGAGGAATATTCCGAGACGTGGTATTGCTGGGGCATATGAAAGCTCAATTTCTGTTTTTTTGAGGAACGCCCATATTATTTTCCAAAATATCTGGACCAGTCACCATTCCCACCAACAGTGAATGAGATTCCCTTTCTCCCCACATCCGCGCCAGCACTGGTTGTTCTTATTCTTTTTGATGTGTGCCAGTCTCCATAGGGTAAGATGATATCTCATTGTTTTGATTTGCATCTCCCTGATGATTAGTGATGGAGAGCATTTTTTTCATGTGTGAATGAGTATTGATAGAAGTGAGATTTGTTATGCCATCACTCCTAGGCTGAGCAATTTGATGCATGATAGGAGATGCTCTCCTTGTGCCCCATGCTGAATAATGGCATTTCCACATGAAAACCAGGTCTGAGTCTTAGATTCTGAAGAACCAGGAACTTCTCCCTCCTGCGACTAAGCCATGACCACTGCACGGGGAGGAGGCTGCATCCTTTGGAAAGGAAAGGAAGCACCTTGCTTCACTGACTGCAGAAGCTCTTCCCCACTGTGACTGGGGAGGGTGAAGCCAGGAGGGGCCCCAAACTCTATGATTGGGGTATTAAAGGGGACTGCCAGGGATTCTAGTTTCAGTTCTGCCATCCATGATGTCTCTCTCATTGTTTCTTTGAACAAGTTCTGAAACCTTTCTAAACTTAGCAGTATGATAGTCAGTGAGGGTTGGAAGAGTTGCACTCTCGGGTACCTCTTGTTGCATTCTCTTTGGAGAGCCAGAATAGATTCCTGTGAGTTTCAAGATTCCTTTCTCTTTCTGTGCCTCTGCTGGCCAGCATCTCTGTGAGTGGGCGTCTCTGGGGATGGCATGGCTCCTGCATGTGAGATGGGTGCCACTACTAGGCACTCTGGAGGAGACCAGAAGTTTCAAGTGAACCAGTAGTAGTTGGTAGGTGGTAGTTAATAGTAAGTAGATTGTAGTAGTTAGTAGTATTAATAGCAGTTCCTGAGAACTTGACAGCAAATTCTCAGCCCTGCCCTGACATCCAAGGCTTCTCACCCCCACATCTGTATGTCTTTAAGTTCCCAGTTGATTCTGATACACAGTAATGTTTGAGAACCACCAGTATAAAGTCTGTGCTGTAGGATTGCGGGTATCACTGCTGGAGCCCAGCAATTACTTGAGGCCTCCTGGAAACAGTTGCCTTTGGCAGGTGTTTGTACCTTTTAGCTAAGCGAGCAGAGCTGTGGCTGAGAGTGAGAGATTGCTCCTGATGCAGCGGGGATTGTGCCGGAACTCTACTGGCTGCCATTCTGTCCAGGCGAGCACCTGCTGGAGGGAGCATGGGGGATGCAGGGAATGCATTCGTGCTGGGTTGACAGAGCATGCTGCTGGACAAGCTTCCACAGAAGCTGATTTAAACGGAGCAGGCTGGTGATGGCAGCTGGTGTTCATGCATTTTCAAAGTCTGCCCTTGCCCCGGGTTGCTGCCTTTCTGAGAGATTTGCTTACACCTGAGTAGTGAAGACCAGTGGTGACAAGAGGTTGGCCTGTCCAGGAACACACCATTTGGTGACTCTGCCATAGCCTGGACTTAAAGTTCTTCCCTGGCCTGGCCTCCATGTCTAAATGTCCATCATAGAACTAGAGTGAGGTGACCAGATGGCCCAAATCACCCAGGACTGTCCCGTATTTCCCCTTCCTGTCCCTCTCAGTCTGGTGTCTCGGATTTGGCCCTGCATTGCCCACTCCTGCTGGATCTTGTCCAGTCGAGGGACAAAACGTCCTGAAGTCTTCCTGAGCTACGGGAAACCAGGAGACTGTGAAGCACAGATGGCAATCCTGCACCAGCATGAAAGAGAGCGACGTGCAGGAAGGGATTGCTCCGGCGGCAACAGGAGGAGCTGACGGCTGGAGCGGGAGCAAGCAGGCCCGACTGGGATGGGGAGAAGTAAGTCTGTTTCTCTGCTGGGCTCCAGGGAGGGCTCACAGTCGGGAGGCAGCGGGAGGTGGACCTGGGGTGGTCCAGCTGGGCCAGAAGGCAGAGAAGGGGAGGCAGATGGGCAAGGCAGGGGGTGGGGTGAGGAGCATGAGCCAGAGTGTGTGTCCTGGCTGGCCTGGCCTCTCACTCACGCCGTCTGCCCTCATATATGCTCGTCCATCTTTCATCCTGCCATCGCGTCCCCGGCCCTCCCCTCCTCCTGCCACACGGCGGGCTCTGCCCCACGCACAGCTCTGGTCCTGCGCCTTTCCCCTCCCAAGCTCACGCTGCTCCGTCCCACCCCTTGCCTGCTCTCTGCTCCTTGCCCGGCTTCTGTGTGGTACTGCGTGATGTGAGCAGGAGAATGGTAGGTTCCGATTGTGATAAGTGTCTCCCTGTCCACAGATGCCAGCAGTGACAGAGACTCACCCCAGCAGCCTGCAAGTAGCCCATCCCGGAGCCACCACGTGGACGACTCACAGCACGTCTTCCTGACTTGGCAACCGCAAAGCCAAGCTGAGAAGCCAAAGATGCCCGAGATGCTCTCAAGGCTTTCAGAGCACCGCTGAGTCACGGGAGGTTCTGCCCGCAGAGACTGTAGGGGGAAACTCAGCGCCCCCCGGATTCTCATCTATCTCAGTGCCATTCTCAGAGCCACAGACAAGGCTCCTCCTGCCTCAGCCCTGCAAGTTCTGCTTTGCCTCCTCTGTGAGCAAGTGTTAACTGCTGCCCACTCTGAGTTCTGGAGTAGACCATCCTCCGTGAAATGGGCCAGCAGCACCCTTGGACATGCTTGTTTCTCAGAAGTTGCCAAGTTCGTGTTTCGCTTGCTCCGTTTGTGAGCTGAGGGCCCCAGATCGGATGCCAGAGCATTTCCCGACCTGTTTGGCCCCTCTCCCCTCTTCCCCAGAGAAACTCACAGGGCTGTGCTCCTGCCTCTCTAGGGAGGATTCTGCATGTGGCGGTGTGTACTTTAGCAGATAGATGAGCGAAACTGTGGTCCCGGGGAACCAGCCTCTTTGGAACTTAGCGGGTGACTGAAATTGGGCTCTCTCCCTGGAAGGAAGCAGCTGAGACAAAGCCACTTAAGTCTCAGTGTTCCACCTCTTCTACCTTGAGGCTCTCAGGCTGTCGTTTGGGGGTCCACCCTCATTCAGGGTAGTTCTCTTTTGTTTTTTTGCAGTTAAAAGTTATTTGGGTTGTTACTTTTCATTGGAGCAGAGCAGCCCCTGTTTATTTCAATAACATCAAAATGTAGACAAGAAAAAGAAGCCACCCTCAGCAATACTGAAACTGTCAAAGGGCCTTCCAGGAAGGCATGCAGCAACATACGGCATGTCCATGTCCAACACAACATATGTGTCCTGTGCCTGATGCTTCATACATAAATGTTACATAAATGTATTTGTCTGTCACAATACCACACTTATTCTTTGATAACATGTGTCTTTATGTCTTGCTAGAACAGCTTTCTAGATCAACTAGCTTTTCTTAAAAAAAAAAAAAAAGCCATATAAAGTCTTTTCTTACAGAAGGGAAACCCAGGCCCCAAAATGTAAGGTGGTTTATAAAAAGTGGGTCATTTAAATAATTTAATATCAAGAGATCAAGCTAAGTGGTTACAATTACAATGGAAAGACTGCTCAACTGCTCAACACTGCCACGATGATGATTATTATTTTCTTGACCATGAGTTACATGAATCTGAAGTAGCTGTGAAAGTGCTCACAGACACCCTCACTGATTCACCTACTCTCACAAATCCATACATAGAAGCACTGATAAACATGCTTGTGCAAGTCTATCCTCAAGGTAATTACCCATAAGATTAAAGGCTATGTAGGTTACCAAGACCCCCAAGTAGGCTGCCCTGTTAACTGCATGATCCCTGGATGTCACAGTCTAGAAGAAGTACTCCCAGGCTATTGCCCAGGTGACTGTATATATGTGTCTCCAGGCTTGGTAGCTCTGACTTCCTTTCCCTTGCCCCGAACAGGCATACTCCTAAGCGAGTTAATCAGCTGGCGGATGAGGGAAGGCTGCTATGTTGTTTGGGTTTGATATTGCAGTCCATCTCCATCTCACAATTCCTCACTGACTGCTGAGAAACGGCCCCTCCATCAGCTCCCATTTTTAGAGCAGCCGTTGGTGCAAGATGTCAAACTGGAGGTTGAGAAGACAAAGATGAAAGGAATAGAAACACTCTCCTGAGAAAGATCCCAGCCTCAAGAAATCCAGTGACTCATAACATGCATCTACTCTGAAGTCTCTCGGAGGAAGAAGAGAAATGCAAGTTGTACATTCCAGGGCCGAAATTTTGGGGAAAATCCATGAAGTGTCCAAAGGGAAGGCATGAAAATCACACGTGATCCATTGTGCCCTTCAGCACAGCCATGGTTCCTGAGTGTCGGTTAGCAGCAAGCCAGCCTGGCTGGATGTGTCCATCCTCACCAGATAGCCCTTCCAGGAAGGCCTTGCCTTTCACTTGTACCTCTAGAGACCCTGGTACGAAATCATACAACTTATTCTGAAATCTGTTACATGTGAACTCCCAATGGAATAAACAAAATTAAAGGTAAAGGAATTCATGAGTTGAAACAAAGTCTCAATGTTTTATGTATGGAGGAAAATCTGCATGAATTCATATCCTTCTGCTTGGTGGAAACTTTTTTTCAAATATTTCATTAAAAAGAGTAACCATCTGATTTTAGACAACAGGGGAACTAGAGAAAAGGAGAAAGCTTACCTTCTCCAAGTTGGGCTGATGGTGCTTTCACCCAGACAAACTTGTAGTAAGATGGGGTTGAGGACAAGACCTGGGAATATATGAATTTTCTGGGTTTTTCTCCCTATTTTTATTTAGGTAACATATTGTTGTAGTCATTTTGAAATTCACATAATAAAAGCTCAGAAATTTAAAATAGACTTTCAAGTATGCCATGATGCCCCAGAGTTAGATCCTTCTAGAGATTGTGTGTGTGTGTGTGTGTGCGCGCTTGCGCACGCGCGCACGCGTGCACGCACTTGCCTGTGCATTTAAAATCATACATGGGGACCATGGAGATATTGCAGGGGTTAAGGCACTTTCCTTGCATGTGGCCAACCCTTGTATGATTTCCAGCATCCCATGAGGTCCCTTAAGCAATGCCTAGAGTGACCCCTGAATATAGAACCGGGAGTAGGCTCAGAGCACCACTGGGTGTGGCCCCACACAAATGAAAAACAATGACAACCAGATATGTAGATAATATGTAGTTTTTAATGAAAAGCTTGACAATTTTATGATTAAACTTCTTCTATTTAACCTAAACTGTTCTTGTGGATTATCATGGCAGAGCCGGGGCATAGTTCTAGGAGGCTGCGGGGTGGGGGGAGGGGGTAGCAGATGAGTTGGTACTTGAAGAGAAGCATGGAGAAAGAGCAGGGTTCTTGTATTTAAGCAGTATTTACTGAGCGTTCTTATGTACCACACACTCGTCTCGACCCTGTAGAGTCAGAAGTGAACCAAAAGACAAATCATTCTCCTCAGGGGTATTCTTTTAAAATAGATGGTGGTAGACACTAGCGTAAGTCCGTGAGTAAATTAGTAAAGTGAGTAAAGGCCCTCCCGTTGATCATCGATTTGCTCGAGCGGGCCCAGTAACGTCTCCATTGGAGACTTTGTTGTTACTGTGTCTGGCATATCGAATACGTCACGGGGAGCTTGCCAGGCTCTGCTGTGCGGGCGAGATACTCTTGGTAGCTTGCCGGGCTCTCCGAGAGGGGCGGAGGAATCGAACTCGGGTCGGCCATTTTGGCTGCATACAAGGCAAATACCCTACCACTCTGCTATCACTCCAGCCCTTGACATATTTTTAATTTGACTGTGGTAAGCACTTTAGCAGAAACTAAGTTCCGTCTATGAGAAGGGGCCTATGCTGCGCCTTTCTGAAGCAGGCCTGAGACCTGGGGAGGAAGCTCAGAGGTTGCCTTACGTGGGTGGTCCCTGGGTTTGATTCCTGGCACGACAAATATAAATGAACAAATGCAAAATGAACAGCCAGGTGGGCCTCGTTGGAGAAGGGGGGCATGTGAGCACAGGGTTACAGGAGGTGAGAAGAGAGCCCAGGAGAGCAGGGAGAGAAAACCACAGAAAGAGGCAGGGCAGAGGGGCTGGAGCGATAGCACAGTGGGTAGGGCATTTGCCTGGCATGTGGCCAACTGGGGTTTGATTCCCAGAATCCCATATGGTCCTCCTAGCACCACTAGGAGTAACTCCTGAGTATACAGAGCCAGGAGTAACCCCTGTGCATTGCTGGGTGTGACCCAAAAAGGAAAAAAAAGACAAAAAAAAACCCCAAAGAGGCAGGGAAGAGGCCCCTGGATTGCTCCCACCCAGACTCTTCCCACTTCCCACTCTACCCCGGTTGGCTTCCGGGGACTCTGCAGGAAGCAGGGGCCAGGCTGGTGTAACCCTGCTACCATACGAGCTATCCGCAACTTCATCATGGTGTCTTTTACCCCTTCCCAGATCATCCTGTGACTTGTCTGTAATCGTCGAATCCAGATCAGGAAAGCAGCTGGAAGCAGCTGGATGGCAAAAATGAGTGTGAGCATCCAGGGTCACATCAGAGAACGGCTGCCTGCCGCTGTGGCCCTGTCGAGCCTCCCGTGCTGGGTCATTCAACCTCTCGGGCCACTCAGTTTCCTAAGTGAGGAAACCGAGGGTGCTCTTGGGTGGCTCGAGGGCTGTTCGCAGGCATGGCAGCCCGGGAAGCAGTGGCCATTGGAAGAAGAATCGGGAGATGTCACGGGTGAGGCGGAGGGAGGGGGCTCCTGGCTGCGGGGGATGCTCGGCATGATCCAGCGTGTGCTGCCTCCCCCTTCTCCACCTTGGACTAGAAGTGCTCAGCGCCACCCTAAAAATAGAATATTCCATCTGAGTAAGCCCTGAATCCCTGTTGGTCCCAGAGGAGACGCAGCAACATTACTAATTGCATTCCTCGCCTCATTCCCTCATTCCCGTTCGGTCCTTGACACATTCCTTCTCTACCCAGCCCGATGCTGTGCCGACGACGGGGTGCAGTGGAGGTGGGCTCCTGAGGTCAGGGGCTTCTTCCTCTGTTACTCTGGCTTTAAGGGTAACTGCCCCTCTGCAGTTGACAGGTTGAGTGCCTGGAGCCTCTCCTCCCTGGTGAATCAGTCAGTGGGAGGAGAGTGTGTGGTTGGCATCACTGCACTTCCAAATACAGCAAGATCACTGTGAATTTAAAGAACAGGATATGTGTAGAAGGTTGTGAGGGCAGAACTGGAGCCTTGAGCAATGATATGGAGAGGAAACTGCTCGACAACACAGAGAAATTGTTTCTTTTTCCCTCTTTACGTGGGTCACCTTGGCTGTACTTACTTCCTTGCTAATTCTAATTCTTTTTCTTTTTTTCCTAAATGACCCATCTTTAGCACCCTTGGGGAAACTCAGTAGTGGCTTCTAGAACTGGGTCTCTCTTCCCTTATCTGAGGGTCTCAAACCAGGCCATGGAAGAGACATACATATGCATGTATCATCCATGGAAATGGATTCTGAGGTGTTTAATTTGCGGAAATCAACTCCTAGTTTATGCTTGGTCCCCCCGCCTCCATTGCCTTTTAAATTACATGTGTACACCCCAAATCCCTCCGTTACTTCTTGCATTTCATATGTGACACCCTTTGTCTCCATGAACTGTTGTGGAGAGAAATTTTATTTGGAATATTCATAACAAGTCTATCACTAATTATCACTTGAACAATGTGTTATGGAGTGTATCCATGCAGTCATCTGGAACGGCACATATGCCATGAAATTTGGGCTTTGCTGTGCATGGGGTGTGCCCACCCCAAAGCCTTTCATCAACTCTGTGCTCAGGGAGGACATGGAGGTGCTTTGTGAGTATGGAGGGCTGACTCAGAGACACCATGTCCACAGCCATCGTTCCGGCCCTCGTAGCAACAATTTCCATGGTGGATTGCTATGCAGTCGAAGAAAAGCTGTCCCTCGAAACACCCGTGCCCCTCCCACCCAGGGCCTACTTGGGGAACGTGACCGTGAGATGGCTCTGGGTCAGCAGCCGATGCACAGAGCCCAGCTGCTGGCTTCTTTACAGGGGAGGAAGAGGCTGCTGGTTCTTTGTGCCTCTCTGCTTCTCTGGCAGGAAGGGTGGGGCTAAAGTTCCAGAGCCTGGCAGACCCCAGAAGCAAAGGAGAGGACGAAAAGTCTGTGTCTCCCTTTCCTTTCCACTCCCCTTCCTCCAGGGAGTCATGCTGCATTTCTTCTTCAGGATTCTCAGGGACTCAGAGCTTTGAGGGTCTGTAATGACATCATCGGGGAAGCCTGGGGAACGCTTCTTACCAATGCTTTCTGCTGAGGGTGGACCAAAGCCGAGTTGGTCCGCTGTGGAGCCTGAGCATACTGGGGGAGCCCATGGCCCTGGTGGTTGGACCTGGCTGGGGGCAGTCACAGATCACGTAACCCTGCTGGGAGAGAACCATTGGATCTGGGGATGCCACTGCTTTTGGTGTGTCTCTGGTGCCCACTTGAGCATGAGTGGGGGAGTCAGGCTCTGTCAGAGTGTTCGGAGGATGTAATCTGGGCGGGCCTACAGGTTGAATCTGTTAGAATGAGTGCTCTCTCGGGCCAGAGGTTGCCTTAGAAACAGTGACAGTTGGTGTTACTGGCCGAGTCCTAACTCTGAGCTGGGCACACTGTTCCTCACTGTCCTCAGCAGTGAGCACGGTGGGAGCATTTATGATAGAGTGCAGGAGAACCTTGTCTCACAGGGCTGGAGGAGGAGAAGACACCCTTGGGGTCCCTACTTGGAGACCCTCAGGCCCTGAGCAGCAGAGAGCCGCCAGCCCAGGGGCCTACAGTGGCTGAGGGCAGCCACAGACCACATGACCCTGCAGGGAGAGAGCTGCTGGGTCTGGAGGTGCCACTGCCTTTGGTGTGTCTCTGTGACGTCCACTTCAGCATGAGTGGGGGACTCAACTCCATCTGCATGGTGGGGGTGGGAGAGAGCCTTGCTGAAGGTCTATCTTGTTGCACTCCCTGTCCATGAGGGTCCCTGGGCCGGAGAGGTCAGAGAGCCGTGTGGGCGATGCAGACTTAGCACCACTGCATCACCGCCTTGGACTCCGGGGCTTAGTTGGTGATGCACGGGGAGGCCCCGGGAGATGGCTCACAGGGATGAGCACATGCTTTGCATATGGAAGACCTGGATTTGTTCCCTGGCATTGCACGGTCCCCTGAATAGCAGCACGGCTGGAGCAACAGAGCACAGTTCTGGGCGCCACTGTGAGTGTGTCACCCCCCCCAACACTCTGTCCCCTCCCCCTAAACAAAATGGAGTTCCTGACTCCTGGATTTCTGAGGGTTTGGTTTCTTTGTTTCTGTTTGGGGTCCTGGTGGGGTTCAGGAGGAGTCAAGTGAAAGTGTGTTTGAAAGGAACAGTTCTGGGTGTGTTGCAAAACCATGCCCGAACAGGTTCTGCTGCAGCCTCCACCCCCTCTGGGGGGATGTGGGCTCGCACGGCACTGTGCTGGGGTAGCAGAGGAGGTGGT